TATAGCTTTACTAGTACTTTACTTACTTTTCACTAGTAGTCCGCTAGTAATCCTAATAAGTAGATAATAATATTATTAATATATATAGATATAAAATTATCTAGATATTTATATAGGATCTAGTTAATATATCGCTAGAATATCGCTAGTATACTAGTAAGACTAAATAGTATTATATTCTACTTAAAGAGACTATATTATATATAAAACGCTATTTTCTACTCCTCGCTTAGAATAATTCGGATTTTATAAAATACTATAATAATATTAAGCTTAGTAAACTATCTTACTTTTACTATATTCTATAGGATCTTACGAATTAGAGAAAGGAGATAATAGTCCTTAATACTTATCTTATTTAACCCCCTATAGTTAATATAGAAATAGACTCTACTCCTAGATTTTCGTATAAGTAATACTAGGATAGCTACTAATAACTAACTAATATATATAAAATTTTTATCTAGTAGATTAGTTAGGATTTTTCGTAGAAATAATAGTTCTTCTCGATTTATTCTATATAATAGTCTATATAGCGGTTATTCTTCGTTACCGTTTTGGTTATATTTTAATAGGATCTTATAGTTAATCCCTAGGCGATAAGAAGGGAGTTTATTCGCGAGTTATTAACTAAATACTTTAAGCTATTTCTAATAATACCTTAGTAGCTTTTCCTTTAGATTAATATATATCTTCGGTTATAGTACTTTATCGATATTATCTAATATTACCTTTCTAATCTATAGCTATTATAGCTCCGAAATACTATCGAATAGCTATCGAATTAATCTTACTAATATCTTATTTATCTATAGGGTCTTTATTCTAGATAGTCTAATTAAGGGATTCTACCTATTCTAATAATATATTCGGTAGCTATCTTTATTATAAATATCTAAATATTCTTTCTTAGCTAAATACTAGCTATTTATCTACTTAAGCTAAGAGTTATCTAATATTATATTATCTATCTAGTTCTCGATAATATAGGCGAATATATTCTCTTATTAGTAGCTATAGATATTAATATTAAGATATATAATATAGATAATTTGCTCTTAATTTACTATAACCCTATCTAGGGATTATATTAGAATATAAATATATAGGAGATTAAGAGATTTAATAAGCTTTCTATTTACTATTATATAGCTTTAGTAGCCTTAGTCGACTAGGACTTTTATAAACTAAATTCTATTTACTCTAATATCTAGGAGAAATAGTAGTAATTTATTCTCTAAAAGTCTCTTAATCCCCTTCTACTCCTATTCGCGACTAAGAATAAAAGCTACTTATTTTCTAACTTACTTAATATAGATAGGCCTTTATCCGAGGATCCTATATTCTTCTCTTCGCTTTCTATTACTAGTTATATCTTCTTAATCTTATTACGCTTTATCTTCGAATTAGTAATATTTCGATCCTTCTTTAGTATACTCTTTACTATATAGCTAGTACTTAGCTAATTAGCTAGGAGATAAGAGTATCTTAGAATATAGTAATCCTTCTATCCGTAATAAATATATAGATCTTTATTTCTATATTATTAGATTCCTTCCGAGCTTATCTATCTCGCCTTCTTCTAGTCGTCTTTATTTCGCTAGTATTTCTAGTATAATTCGGTATAGTTTATAGTAACTATAGAGATCTAGTCTATTATATCTAGATCTTTCTACTAATAATTAAAAGACTTACTTTTACTATTTCTATTTAAGTTTAAGATATCTATATCGGTATTAATCTTATATAAGTAACTTACTAGCCCCGAGTAGATAGCTAGAATCCTACGATTTATTAGCGTAGCGCTTATCTCTTTATTTAAAATACTTAGTAGGATCTATCTTCTAGCTTTATTAGGCTAATTAATAGCTCCTATATCTATAAATTCCTTTTCGAGTTTCGGTAAGAAATAAGTAAAAAACTAGCTATCTATCTACTTAATTTAGTAGAGCCTTCTTACGGCCTACGACTATATATTTAGGTCTCTATATATATCTTCGAGGTATATAAGTATATCCTCCGGACCGGTAGTATCTCGCGAGTATTTTATATATATTCTAGTATTCTTCTATACTAGCTTCTCTAAGTATAAGAAGATATATATAAACTAATCTTATTTATAGCTAATTACTTTACCGTTAATAGCGAGCTTATTTTCTATTATAATCCGCTAAGTTAACTAATCGTTAATACTTTCTATAAAGAGCGGTAGATCTAGGAGTTAAGGCCTCGGCCTATATATAATAGTAGATATCGATTCGGCGGGGGTTAGCGTAGGTTCTACTATCGTTTCGGTACTATTTCCTTCGGTCGACGAGCTAGCTATCTATCGCGCTAATATATCTTTAAGCTAGCGAATTCTTTTATCTTAGGCGGTAGCGCGCTACTACTATAAGTACTAGCTTACTTCTATCTATTATATTATCGCTTATATCTATAGGGATAGGGCCTACTACTACTCCTAGGGATTTATAATAACTAGGTATATCGTATACTAACCGATAGAGATTCGGTAGCGCTCTATTATTCTAATATTCTAATATTCTGATATACCTAGAAATAGGTATCTTCTAGGGCTTTCCGATACGTCTCGAGCGCTAAAGAGTTATATATAAGAGTTCTATTCCGATATAAATAAGCCGCTAAACCATAGTTAATCTAGGGGTAAAACTAATAAGATTCTAATAAAGGTACCTAGGTTAACTCCCTAGGGCTTTCTAATAACTAATAATACTTCTAAGCTAGTAAAGAAGGAAGATTATTATATATAAAGGGCTATAGCAGAATTAACTTAATTATACTAGGCTAATATACTATTTATAATAATCTTAAGGAGGGAAAGAAACGGTCCCTCTTCGGTAGTAAATAATATAGGGGCCTTTCTGCTAAAGGCGGTATCTGTCCTTCTAATCTAGTATTCTTCTGCAGAAGAATACTAAGACGGTCTTTCGCCGTTAACTACTAACGTGATCCGGAAGGCCATAGCTAATAGTTTACTACCGGGCTCTGGCCCGTTATAGTTAGAGCTCTAAAAATAGCGTAGAAGCCGGAAGGATTTTGTATATTTTTAAATAGCGTTAGAGCCGAAGGAGGGACTTTAGCGACGATTCGATATAATAGCTTTAGTAGCCGTATTCGATACGTAGGGATCGTTAAGTCGTAAAGAGGTACGAAGTCTATACTCTGTAGAAGGCGCAAAACGCGCCGAAAAACGATAGAAAAAGAGGTTATTATATAAGTTATGCCTAGGTAGTGAGGAAATATGAATAACCTCACTTTTTGTGCGCTAAGCAGGGCTTATAACCTATTAGAGGCTACTAGGAAACGTAGCAGACCCAAAAGAGGGGAGAAAGGAATGGTGAGATTGTATCTGGTGAGAGGTGCCTATCTAAGCTACGAAGGTGGTATGCGTGGGCGCGCACCACGCTAGTGAGACGCGCCAAACCACCAAGCTATCTCAACAGTTTATATAGAGGAATTGTTTCTGACATGTTAAAATTATAGTAAGTTAATTACAGGCTTACACGAGCTTCAGGAAGCAATTCCTTAAGCCATGTTCATTGTTGTACGCGAGAATGGAAAAGCTTTAGAAGGACTCAGAAACTTTCATTCAACTTGGCTGCGTGGTATCAAGAATCTCAAAGGCTGAAGAGGAGAAAAAGAAAAGGGAAGAGACTACAGTCCATCCTGAGTTTTGAGATGGTGCGCGTGGCACACGTGGTGGGCGTGGCACACGCCCTCTATCCTCCCATGTCCTATCCTCATCCTGAGTCAGTCCTGCCATACTCACAACATTCATATGGCTCTTCCTAATCGCCGTATAAATCGCCGCGGTTAGGAATATGTTCTTCCATATGGCACACGATTTGATGCTTAAATTGCATACAGTGGTATTATAATATGTTCTAAATTCTGTTTAGAAAAGTATGACTTAATCATTTTCAAAAATTGTGTTCTTTTCGTGGAACCGTCATGTCACGTCAGAAGCTGCATCTTCCACGAACCACGAAACTCTTTGACACTAACGACGTCTTTTAAGTTAATTGGATTTATGTAATGAATGTGACGACCATCATTCAGGCTACAGGAGAAAGGTGTTTTCAGAGTAGAGTGTTATTTTGGAGACTAAATACAAAGCTGAAAGGAAGAAAGAAGGAAGAGAGAAGAAAGATCTACCGAACAAAACAGAGTGGGCTGGCGTAGCCACAAGCCAGCCAATCACGTGTCCTCCCATGTGTGGGAGCCCCTATCAAACCTTGACAGTGAAAACGTCCGTTGATTACTGTATGTTGTGCTAGTCCCGAGGTTGAAAGAAGCCCAGGGAATAGATCCAGGTCAGCTTTACCACCTATTTACCTGGACCCTTTCCCCAACCCTATTTAGATCCAGATTTGATTCAGCTTCTTCCAGACAGTCGAATCGTGGTGTAAAAGATATAATATGATAGATTGTTCGTAAATGATCCGAAATCACCTATGCTCTTACCGCCTACACATATATACACTGCCGACGACAGCGGTGGCTCTCATTCCAAACCCTTGGACGCCCTCAGCGTAGAATTGCATCTCCATAATGCCATCGTGCCCTTCTTCTTCCGCCCATGCTAGCGGAATCTTTCCACTCAGCGACTTGGACTCTAGGTCGACACCGTTTCTTGCAAGTAACTTAAATACCCTCTCATTCCCCTTTCCTGCCGCTAAGATAGCTGCGTCCGTCCGTCAGAACCCTTAGAGTCTAGGCTGACGTCTTCTGTCGCGAGAAGTAACTTGACCACCGCCAGCTTTTCGGTGTTTTCAGAGGTGCATTGGGATATCGCGGTGAAGTAGTGGACTGTCAATGCTTCAACATAGGAATGAATATTAAGGAGGTATCGAGGCCATTCGTGAGGAAACTTTCGAGGTTCAGTTCTTGAGGAGTCGCGGAGGAAGTTGCAGTTGGAGAGTGGAAGAAAGCGGCCAATCCCGATACGGCATCACTCTGCTTTATGATTCAGAAATCGGCTATCTATTCCTCTCCTCGTATTGCTCGCGGATCCAATCAATTTCTGCATTGACGAGATGGTCCAACCCCTCAGAAACAGGAAGTTTATGAATGAAGCATTTGCAAGACGGATAATTACCCCAAAATTTCAATCGAGGGTTAAGTTTGGGAAACATTCCATCCGTCAGGTGTTCATTCCAGATTTCGCGGCGGAACCCCGGAACCAAGGATTCGATATATGTTTCGAGTGCCTGTACATCTGGATTTCGCTTTGCTTCTTGCATCTTCTGCGGATTAAACTTCGGATTTGCGAAGAGATCGGAATAGAAGTTCAACAGTCGCCAGCGCTCCCAGGTATTGACTGAAAGGAACCCGTAGTCAACCTCGGATTCTTTGCAGAGCAAAGGTTCATCTTTCGAATGGAACTCGCATACGGCGTTCTTGCATGAGCAATTTGGACACCCACTGAGACCATGTGAGACCTCTGACATGAGGCGGTAGATTCCGATTGTTTCTGGCGAAGGTTGACGGGGGTAGATACCATCGGAAACGAGAGATGATGTCGCAATACCTTTAGTCGCCATGATATCAAGTAATGCGTCTGACTCCCATGCTGTTGCTATTTGATTGAGCGATGCATGGTTGGCAAGCTGGGTGTAAGCCTTTGCAAGGAGTTCCCTCTGGGCCCTGCTTGTGCAATAGCAGAAGCCGAATCTGATCCACTCTGGGTCACCGGTTTTGGGGATGTTGTTGAAGTCTCGGAGAAGAATCCTGTACAATAATCCAACAATATATTCTGATCTGGACAGAACACTGTCATGATCAATGGAAAACTTTTCCTCCAGCTCTTGTATGGCCCAAAGCTGATAAAGGTACTGTCCACCATGATTGGGGATGTCGAAGGAGCTTGATTGATACCGACTGAAAAACCATGGAAAGCAACCGCATTCTTCCGCGTCAGTCTGTGCCATTTGATACTGGATCCAATGCCCAATAAATCTACCTAGAGTATGGTGCTCGACAAAATGTTGAAGTATTTTTGACGAAAATCCGCAGGTCAAACCGTTGTAGATGCAGAAAAGATTGGCGACTTCCATTTCTTGCGCGCAATTATTAAATCCAAAAGTCTTGCAGAGATGATCGTCTCGAAAGAGCTCTGTTAGGAAATGAGCTCGGGAGATCAAGTCGTTCATCACGGCAAGCCATTTCCTGGTCATGAATTTTAGATAGTCCACGTCATTGGGTCGATTCTTGACACAGCAGACGAAGACATGTCTAAACCAGTCTTTTGATTGACATCTCCTTGAGCAATAATTCATGCGACAGGCTGAGCAACGAGATTCACATGATTGACCACACAACTTGCATTTGTGTGAATGGGAAACGCGCCTGAGAGGCATTTCGTCCGGAGATTCCAGCTCGAACATGGAACGGATATCCTGATCTTTAAGGCGTTCGGCTTCTGTGAATGTCACCTCTATCGATCGATGATCAAAGCGGGCCCCTGAGACCCATGCGTACCCCGGCTTATTATGAATTGGTGCAATAAGCAAGCCGTTATTGAAGGCCGTCGGCATCATCATCAAACGCCTATAAGAGGATCAGCAAACCGTTTCATATATGTAATTTCTGACAGGTTAACATACTGGAAGCCTCGATAAGATGCATTATGGTATTCGGGGTCCCGCTGCCATATACCCCCTGTCGAGGAAAGTGCATGCGAGGACTGTGCCCTTAAGTCACGGTGCTTCGTCGGCGGACTATTGAACAAAGTCTGGAGAGAGACCTTTAATTCCATGAGTAAACGGTTCATAGCCAAATGGAGTTGCATCGACGAGCTGCCTTTCGATGTCGGAGAGGGCATAGGCACGTTCCACCTATATAGTAATGTCTCATGTGTTCCTCGCACGCCAAAATGCTCGTGAGCGCGGACTAGTGTATGACACAACAGACAACAGCGCCTGCTACATCCGATATATTTGTGTGACTGGTTTCTATCTTCCGGCGACATTGAGTACTCAAAGTAAGCTAGGAGCTGAGTTTCTGCGTGGTGAAACTCTTTCTCTCGTTTCGCTTTGCACAACTTAGTGAATCGAGCGGCATTCTGTGCAAGATAACCTGTCCAGCTAGGGTGGAAAGTGATACCTAGAGTTTTTATGACATCTAGGAGATTTGTGTATTCATCTCCGACCGCGTGTCTCCGCTTTTTCTTATGCCGGCTTTGGTTAATGTGCCGACCTTGATTTTCACTGTGCCGAAAAGACACAATCTCGATAGATCGAAAAGGTCGATGGCCCTTCGCGATCTCGACGAAGATATTTGCAGCATAGCAAACCCTAGCCAGAAACAGTAAAGTATCATTCTCTTTCTGGTGTGTAAAATGTCTTCTTAGGGCGGCCTTCAGCATGAATCGAGCCCGGGGATCTCTCCAGAGATCAAATATATGACTCATCACTTCCTTGAGTAGAGTTGCCTCGTCTTCTGGTGTAAGATCAGGCTGACAGAGGCGGCAAATCTTCTCGAAAAGCTCAGATACGCGGCTTTTGATCTCGCATAGTGTTTCACCAGTGCAAAGAGTGTCTGATTTCACATCGGTCAACTCGTCCGCGAGGACGGAACGGTTTGCTCGTACGGAATAGTCTAGCGGTATGGCAAACGTAAATCCATTGTCGTCCTCCCACTCCTGACTCTGCAAAGATGGAATGGTCGAAAGTCGTTCTGCTAGCAGAGAGAATTTCGGCATACTCTTGACTGAGCCTGAATTTGTGTGAGATCGAAAAGCACGCTTCAGCGACTCAAGGTAGGACTTGATCCGTGGCCATTGATGATCTGCAACGAGGTTGAACATTGCAGACGTATCCTCGTCTGAGGCATACCCTAGCTAGACTTCAGTAACCAACAAAGCACATGCTGAAAGACCTGTTGGGATCTGAAACGAACCTTTTCTCGCGATCCCTTCCATGCGTAACTTCCAACTAGCCAGAAAGTCATCATCTTCCTTCTCAAGTCCCTCATTCTTAGCGCAAAATATCTTGACATGCTCCTCGTTTTCATCGCAGACCATCATAGCTGCGGAAACGTGTTTTGCATCAATCGACGACTTGGCCTTGGGATCAGTTTTGAAGCGAGCTAGCGTTTCGGCAAGTCGGTCGAGGAACTGGTTCTTCAGTTCGATGTGGTATTGTTCGTGTTCTCGATCAGTGCCCAACCCCGTTGGATCTTCTGGGTCATCGAATTCCTCCTCGTTGGAATAGGAAGGTGACTCTTTATCATTCTCTGTGGTTCCCGTCTCTTGTGTTGATTCTTCGAGGGCCGGTGGACGGTCAGAGATTAATGCCAGAAGACATATTGCATCCTCGAGGTTTTGATGCATGGACATCGGATATGAGTTCGGAGATATCACAAAGAGACCAGGGTGTAAAAGTAAAGTGTTCAAGCTTTGCACTCGCCGAGCGCCCAAAGAGGTAATTCAGTATCTAACATTTAGCGGGGACAACTAATTTCAAACAAACGCCTCAAAGCCGTTATAAAATCGCGCTCGAAGCGAAAATTGGGGATAGGCAAACCCCGAACCAGAGCGGGGTTAAACATGCGACTGGACATATATTTTGGTTACGGCTACTGGTCGCCGCCAAGAATGTTCTTGAGTATTCATTATTGTTACTGTAATTTACCATGACTCATTAAAGGTACATTAGTAGATGGGGGAATTGCTAAAACGACACCCCAAATTGCTAATTGCACACCCCTATTCCCCCATCGGGCCTAGTCTTTGTAATTGTATTACTATCTTCTATTACTCCCCCCCCCCTCCCCTCGTTTGGAGATTGCAGGATTTCTACTATCACACCGCTCATGCGGGCTATGGGCGCATTCGCAAGGTTGAATCTGCCCTTCTTAGCATTGAATCTAGTAAGTAAGCCCCTGCTACTACTGCTACTACTACCACTATGTCTATGCAATTCGTCGATAACCTCAGATTCGATGATTCTGATGATTCTGATCTGCTAGAGGGCCCCGAAGAGACCCTACAGGGTCAGGGCCAGGTCAGCATCGAAGAAACCCAATTTGCCTTACGACCTGCCGAAACCCGCCATGCTGCCTCCGAAGATCCTCCCTCTGCCTACGAACCCCCTCAGGTGTATGACCTTCCCCCACCCCCTACGCCTAAGCGATTCAAATCGGCCGAAGATGGAGTTTCCTACATCAACCACTTCGCAGAGGATAACGGTTACGGCGTGACTACCGTGAGATCCAAGAAGGACAAGCGTGGGACAGCCAAGGTGGCTGTCTATCTCCAATGCGACCGAAGTAGGCCTGCCCCAGTAAGGTCGATAGGATAACCCCGAATTCGAAAGACATTTACCCGGTCAACTGAATGTCCTTTCCGCGCTGTAATACGGCGACGAGAGGGGCCCGAAGCCCTGGGTACTAGAGGTTACAGTGCCAACACATAATCACCCAGATGCGCCTCGCTCCGTGCACCCAGTCCATCGCCGCCGAGTCATCAAGAGTCTCGAGAAGGATATTTCAAGCAATTTCGATCAAGGCTGCTATCCGAGGCAGATACTCAGTTCACTTCAGCAGCATGGCCATGAGCTTATACAGGCGAAGGATCTCTACAATCTGAAAGATCAGCTAATTATTGATATCCTTAATGGCCGCCAGTCTATTCAGGCCCTTCTTGAAGACCTTACCAACCAGGGAGATTGGATATTCCGATATTGGCTTCGAGAAGATGATAATAGCCTATTCTGCCTGTTCGCTATGTTCAAAACAAGCGTTGTACTACTGAAGGCTTCACCGTACGTTCTTTGGATGGATTGCACATTCAAGACGAATCGCTATAAAATGCCGCTTCTTGATATTGTGGGAACTTTATGTGCCGGTTAGTATAGTAATTTACCTACAAATTATAACACTTCGCTCCCTCTTACTTACACAAAAAGCATGATTAGGCCAGTCCTTCTACGCCGGCTTTGCATTCATGAGCAATCAGCAAGAGCCATCATTTACATTCGCCCTTCGCTGCCTTCTTGAGGTCTACGAGACTGAAACGATTAGCAAAGGTTATCCATCAACTATCTTTACCGATAAAGACGATGCCAATATTGCTGCAATTCGCGAGGTCTTTCCAGAGACTGATTTGATGCTTTGTCTTTGGCATATTGCCTGCGACATCAAGAAGTATGCTCGCCCCCCTTATTACACAGCAGCTCGCTTCCACTGAAGAGGTTTTCGATAATATCAAGCAAGAGGCAGAAGATCGATGGGAGAAGATGCAGAAGCGCTGGAATCGAATCGTTTTTGAAACTACTGTGGCAGCTAAGGACGAAGCATGGAAACGGTTTAAACAGCAATATACAGAGCCAATCTTCGCCGATTTCCTAGTCTATCTGAATAGGGAGTGGCTTACTGAATCAAGTCACCAATTCCTACGCTGTTACACTAAGAAATATCTTCATCTTGATGAACTGACGACCTCGAGGAACGAATCTGCCCATTGGCTACTTAAGCGTGATCTTCAGGGTACCCGAAACGATTTATTATGGACGTTTTTGTCTTTCTAACATACACTTTTGCTGCAGAAGAACAAAATTGATGTATCGATCGCGAATCAGACGATCAAGCAGCGACTAGGTGCACTAGTATTAGTACAAGACGTTCTTAAGAGGGTCTCTCTCTTCGCCATTAACAAGGTTATGAGGCTATTTGTATAATGTCTCCTACCAGGTCTAACTAAACCCCTAGTGCCTAAGGGTTGCGAGTGTGATTCGGCTAATACTAGTGGATTTCCTTGTATTTATTGTTAAGGTAGCTACTTTAGTAAGGTAGCTAGACTTAATTGTTAGGGAAGAGATAGCTCGTAGTAGTTAGATTGGTATAAAGACTAATTCTTAGGGATCTCTACCGGTCCCTTCTCTGGTGCCTATCTTATAGTCCTCCCTCTTCTATTAATCGATCGATCGATCGGCTACCCGAAGAGATAGGATAGAGCTACTACAGAGGTTACTATTGGATGCTACTAGGAGAACGTAGCAGACCCAAAAGAGGGGAGAAAGGAATGGTGAGATTGCATCTAGTGAGAGGTGCCTATCTAAGCTACGAAGGTGGTGTGCGTGGGCGCGCACCACGCTAGTGAGACGCGCTAAACCACCAAGCTATCTTAATACCCCCCTAGACCTCGATCTACTAATCTCACTCAAAACATGAAAAACATAAAAAGTGATTATATAAAGATATAAATAACGCCTTAATATAGCTTTTTGAGCTTAAAAAGGTATTTAAACCCTTAGAATTAAGCTCGCTATAAAGGCTATTAAGTTAGAGCTTTTTTATGCCTAAAAGATATAGAAACTTCTCGAATTAGACTCGCTATAGCGGCTTAGTGAAGCTATCTACGGCCTACTCTATATATTGAGATAGCTTGGTGGTTTAGCGCGTCTCACCAGCGTGGTGCGCGCCCACGCACACCACCTTCGTAGCTTAGATAGGCACCTCTCACTAGATACAATCTCACCATTCCTTTCTCCCCTCTTTTAGGTCTGTTACGTTTCCTAGTAGCCTCTAATAGGTTATAAGCCCTACTTAGCGCATAAAAAGTGAGGTTATTCATATTTCCTTACTACCTGGGTATAGCTTATATATTTAATAACCTCTTTTTCTATCGTTTTTCGGCGCGTTTTACGTCTTCTACAGAGTATAGACTTCGTACCTCTTTACGACTTAACGATCCCTACGTATCGAATATAGCTACTAAAGCTATCGTATCGAATCGTCGCTAAAGTTCCTCCTTCGGCTCTAACGCTATTTTTAGAGCTCTAACACTCTTTACCTATATAGCGGTATACCGCTATAGTAGATACGTCTACGTAGTAGTACTTCGCCGTAGTAGGCTTACTATATAATATACCTTTATTATAGTAGACCTTATATCTTCCGGCTCTTACGCTATTTAGAGCTTTTAAGCTCTATATTACTTACGTAGTAGTATTTCGTCGTAGTAGGATTAATATATTTATATATATTTAATATAGTTTCCGATCTCGAGGCTTATAAGGCGGCTAAAACCTTCGCCGAATTAGTCCCTATACTTAAGGGAAGAGCTAACTTCGAGAAATAGAAATAGGGGCTTTAATTTATTATAGATAGCCTAGACGAAGACCTATAGTCTATTATTATAGATAAACTAATATATCCTATTTAAGAGTCTTATAATAATCCTATAGAGGAAGCTATTTAAAACATCCTTTTCGCTTAACTTAGATAAGAACCTACCGAAGAGGAATTTAATAAATAGATTAATAAGAATATAACTTAACTAAATAACCGATTTTACTAGTTTCGCCGGAAATATACGCTTACGAAATACCTTATCTATTATATACTTAGTGATTTAGCTCGTAGCTTTATACGCGATTATAAAGATTCTTATAAAATCTTCCTTTATATTAGTAATATATATAGTACTAGTAACTATACTACTTTAAGCTATAGACTATTATCTTTAATTAAGCTTATATATACTAGTAGTAATCTATATAATTTTATTACTAAATAGTAAGCTACTCTAGATCTTATAAATTTAGCTATTCTAAATACCCTATTACTACCTAAATAAGCTCTAGCTTATTTTAAGCTTATAATTAATAGCTACTAAAGTATAAAAGGTTTCTTAAATATATATAAACCTCTAACTAATCCGGATAGTATACTTAACTATATTTTCGGTAAATTTATTAAATATAAGTCGAATAAAAAGTCTATAAATATAGTAATCCTAGCCGTTTCTATCTTAAAAGATACGAAATCTATATAAAATAACGATCGAGGTAGAGGTAGAGGTAGAGGCCGAGGAGATAGAGGCTGCGATAGAGGCTCCGGATAAGATTATAGCTAAAGTTAAAATAACTAGGTTAATAATAATTAGCTATCGTATTATTATATCTACTATAAGTATTTAATAGCTTATCCTAGTAAGTAGTACTTCTTTAATCCTAAATCTAAGGATACCTCTTAAGATAGAGTTAATATAGCTATAGCTAGTACTTCTAATTTAAAAAAGGACTTAAAATCGAAAGAGAAATCTAAGAAGATTTTAATAAGCTTCGCCGAAATAAGCTTAGTAGCTATTAATATTATAGCTATATTAATAGATAATAATAAATAGTATATTTAGATAGTAGACTCTAGCGTATTAGTATATATAATACCTTATCGTATAAATTTTATTAATTTCACGCCTCTTATTACCGATATAAAGCTTCTAGACGGTTATTAAGTATAGACTAAAGGATATAGTAATATTATTCTAAAATTTTTAAATAGAAATAATATTTCTAAGCTTAAGCTACTTAGAGTCTAGTATATTCCTTCTTTTAATATAAACCTTATTTCCTCGTAGTAACTTATAAAGGATTCTAGTATTAAGACTCGATTTAATAAGATATATACCTCCCTATATAGGGGGGAAGAGCTTATCGTTATAGTAAAGTAGGAGAATAGTTAATATTAGGTTTATACCTATAATAGTAATAGCCTTATTAATATACTTAGAGCTCTATTAGTTTAACTATCCTACGTATTTAGTAATAGCTATATACCCGCTATAGATTCGGCTATAGCTTCTTAAATCGGTAAGATTTAATCTATTTTAATAGACCTAGCTTATCGCAGAGCCTATTATATAGGCGAGTAGAAGATAAAGCGTATACCTAAATATACCGAAGGAATTAATATTAAAAAGGGATCTAGTATTAAGTACCCTTATCCTCCTTATATTCTTAGTAAAGATTATATCTTACCTTTTAGACGAAGTAAGCGTATCTAGACTATACCGGCGTAGAAGCTTTATATTAATATTTAGGATCCTATCTCTATTATAGGCGTTAGAGGTAATCGTTATTTTATAACTATTACCGATGATATAATACGTTTCTATTAGGTCTTTCTATTAAAGGCTAAGAGTTAAATTACTAATAAGATTCGTATATTATTAACCTACTTTTTAATATAATTTAACTATAAAGTTAAGGTAATTTTAGGTAATAATACGTAAGAATATATTAAAATCGCTACTTTTTATAAAGAAAATAGTATTATTTAGGACCCTATTCCCTCCTATATATCTTAGCTTAACGGTATTATAGAGATTAGGAATCGTTAGCTTATTAAGCCGCTAGTCGCTATATTAGTTAAAAATTAGCTTCCTAAATATCTATAGGGTAAGCTACTTTAGGTATTAATTATACTATAAACTATCTCTAGTAGTCTACTATTAATATAACTCTATATAAAGCTTTCTACGGTAAAAAGCTAGATATTTTAAATCTACGTATCCTTAGCTGCTAAGCTTAGTATCTACTTCTAAAGGAATATAGGATAGATAAGCTTTCTCTATATATAGCCGAAGTAAGGCTAGTAGGCTATAGTACTAATAGGTATTAACTCTATAATATTTATTTAACAAAGATTATAGTCTCTCGTAATATATTCTTATTCTCAATAAGAATATAATAAAGGATCTACCTAAGCCTATATATAATCTCGATATAGAGCTAAAGTTAGTTCCTATATAATCTACGGCTAATTAACGCTATTATATACTATCGGATTTCCTACTAGCTAATAGCGATTTAGCTAATAGCCCTAATAAGCTAGTATAGCTAGTAACCCTATCTTCTTATATTCTAATAGGAGACCTACTATTAACTTAATAGTCTAATATACTACTCTTATTATTTAAACACGAAGTCTAACTTAAAAAGCTTTATAAATAGATTAAGCGGAGATTCGCCTATAAATAGAATAAATATATCGACGATAGCTCTTAAACTATAGAGGATAGTTCCGAAACTATCGAGGATAGTCCTAGAAATATCGACGATAATCCTTAAACTATAGAGGGTAGTTCTAAAACTATCGAGGGTAGTTCTTAAACTATACCTAAGATAGGTCTTCGGTATTTCTTACGAGTCTATAAGAAGACTTAGGCGGCTATAGAGTTAGAGGAATAATTACGTTCTCTTAAGCGTTTATATATAGCTCTAGCTAATTATATTAAATATACTACTTTTTTAATTCGTAGTATAGCTATAGACTTATAGCTACTTCTAAAGCTTTTATATTAAGCTTTAGCTTAATTAATACTATATAAACTAGATAGCTAGTAGGATATAATATAAAATTATAGTAAGGATAAATAGACTAAATAGATTAAAGCTATAGATA